GTCCCTGCGTGTCCCCCCGCGGCTCTGGGGGGGGGGCTGGCACGTGGGGCTGTCAGCCAAGCCCCCTAAAGTGCTGCCTCTGTCCAGGTACAAGGCCTTCCGGGATGCCAATGGGAACTACACCCTCTTCTACTGGAAGCTGCTGGCCATCCGCCTGGGCTTCATCATTGCCTTCGAGGTGAGACTGGGCGGGCACCGTGGGGGCCCCTGCACTGCTCTGGGCCCTGCCAGCTGTTCTGGCCCCAGGCTGGGCCGGGGGCAGATCCAGAGAAGTGATTATTCCTCTTTATTTTGCTCTGGTGAGGTCACATCTGGAATAGTGTGTCCAGTTCTGGGCCCCCCAATATAGAAAGGATGTGGATGCATTGGAGAGGGTCCAGAGGAGGGAAACCAAACTGATTAGGAGGCTGGAGCGTATGACCTATGAAGAGAGACTGAGGGATCTGGGTCTGTGGAGGAGAAGGAAGAGAAGAGTGAGGGGGGTTTGATAGCAGCCTTCAACTTCCTGAAGAAAGGTTCCAAAGAGGATGGAGAGAGGCTGTTCTCAGTAGTGACAGATGGCAGAACAAGGAGCAATGGTCTCAAGTTGTGGTGCCCTAGGAGGGTGGGGAAGCGCTGGGCTGGGTTCCCGAGGGAGGGGGTGGAATCTCCATCCCTAGAGGTGTTTAAGTCTTGGCTTCACCAAGCCCTGGCTGGGTTGATTGAGTTGGGTTGGTCCTGCCTTGGGCAGGGGGCTGGACTTGATGACTCCTGAGGTCTCCTCCAGCCCTGGGATTCTAGGATTGTCCCATCCCAGCCCCTGCGCATCACCCTGGCTTGTTTATTTCCAAGTGGGTTTGCTCCAGGGATTTGCTTTGAAGTGAGGAAGAACCAGCCTGGAGACTCAAACCTCACCCAGCGAGCCCAGTCCAGACCAGACCTGAGCTGTGGATACGTCCCAAGGACTCAGCCGGGGGGGCGGGGGGGGGGGGGGGGGACGGGGGGGCAGCTGGGCCATTTCGCCGGGAGCCTCGCTGAACCGTGTCCCCTTTTCTTGTTTTCCATGTGACTTTATCCTCCCTCCCTCCCTCTCTCTCTGTCCGCCTGTCCCTGCGTCTCGCTTTCGGTCCGTCTGTCCTTGCTTCCCATCACTGCTTTCTCCTCCTCTCCCCCCGCCCATCAGCACGTGGTCTTTTTCTTCCTGCGCCTCATCGACTGGCTGGTGCCCGACATCCCAGAGTCGCTGGAGCTGAAGATCAAGCGAGAGCGTTACTTAGCCAAGCAGGCACTGGCCGATAACCAGGAGGTGCTGCTGACGGTGAGTCACAACTCAGCTTCGCCAGGTCAGTGCGTGAGGAGCCTGCGGGCGTGTCTGTCCTTGTCCCTCTGTGAAACAGACGCAGGTTAGCAAGCAACGAACAGGGGAGCCAGGGCAACGCTCACTCAATTGTTTTTCCATTCAGGTGTGGAATAAATTTTATGTGCACCAAGGCATGTGCAGATGTGCACCACCAGTAGCAACACACCCTGCCGATTCTGGGTGCTCGGTCAGTCACCTGGGTGGCATTTGAATCTTTGCTAGTGGCTGCCCAAGTGCTCATCTTACAGGGTGCCCTGGCCCATGGTGAGGGGGGACAGTTGAGGTCTGGCCCCACGGTTGAGGTCTCTGCCTCTCGCTGTGTCGTTCCCCTGCCAGCTGTTCGCCTGGCGCCCTGCTGGGCTCTCTGCGACGGCGTGTCTGGAGAGACGGAGTTTTGTGCTGCGGTAAGTTACTAAAGTGCAGGCCTCAGAACTCCAACTCCCGCTGCGCATCACACGGACAAGTGTGTGACATTCCAGCCCGGCTCTGTGCCCCTGTGCAGTCCAGTCACAGGCTCCTAGGGCAGGAGAGACCTCAGGAGGCATCAAGTCCAACCCCCTGCCCAAAGCAGGACCAGCCCCGACTCAATCATCCCAGCTCAGTCCCTGCTGTTAACCTGCAGCCCGCCTCTGCACTAGCTCCCCGCGCTCCCCGTTCCCGAGCTCTCTACTCTTGGCAGGGGTATGGACACGTCTGCCAGGGCAAAGCAGCAGCAGCCAAGCCCATACCCCTGTGAACGGAGTCAGTCTGGACACCAGACCGCTGGACGCAGAGAGCGCCTGCCTTAGCGCTCCAGGCACCAGCTGACTCCTGTGGTAGAACCCACCACGTCCTCTCCCAAAGCTCTCGGCAGGGCTCGGCAGGCGGGAAGGGGTGGCCTCAGTGTGAGATCCAGTGGGATCGGCGGTAAGGTCAGGCCAGGTGACTAACTGGATCTCTCTGCTCACCTGGAATGGACTCCGGGGCCAGCCTCGGCGAGGATCCAGCACCCGTGTGAGAGATTCTGGGAGCTGCTCCTGCCACTGTTTCTCAATGGTTGTTGCTTGCTGTACTGTGTGAGTGTGTGTTGTGTTGTGTTTGTGCGATGCACACCCGTGGTTCTTGCCTTGTCCTGGCTCACCTGTGACAGCCCGAATGGCCAATCCTGACACTCTCTGGCCAATCCATGAGTGCCCTTGGGACTGGGGCCATCTTCATGCTAAGGGGGACAATTGTGGCAACCTCAGCTAACAGCTGTGAAGGGCTGGAGGTAAGAAATCGCCCTGGTAAAGGGGGCTCCTCCAGGCGGGATTGAGTGCAGGAAAGAAGGCTGCTGGGTGCCCAAGATGCTTTCATACACCATAGCTCCTGGGGTGTGAACTGTGGAACTCATTGCTGCAGGGTGGTGGGAGGCTGGAGGAGAATGGGCTCGTGGGTGTTTCACGGCAGTTTCACATCAGCTGGAGGAAGAGCGCAGCACTGCCTGGGGAAATGCAGACAGCACCTGGGGGGCCCCGTCCAACCTCCCTCTTCCGTGTCCTCCTGCAGAGCTGGAACGAGGCACCAACGTTTTACCCCCTCCCCTGCTTGCCAGTGTTGTTATCCCCAACCCCACAGTGCCACGGCGTGGGCCCGATCCTCCAACCGTGTGGGCCAAAGCCTCCCCAACCCTGGCTTGCAGGATCGGGTCCAGAGCTGCTACCACTGGTCGAATTCTAACCTGCCATTCCCTCTGCACCCTGCACAGCAAGCAGCCTTTCAGTCGGCAGCATGACCTAGGAGCACCACCGGGGAGCAGCCCCCCGGGGCTGGGCAGAGGGGACAGCAGAGCTGGCTGTGACCTCCAAGCTCGACCGTGTGACTTGCCCACTGGCACGAGGGGGAAGCAGCCGGACATGGAGCTGTCCAGAGGGGCCAGCAAGGCAGCAATGGCCCATCGGGGACCCACGGACGACTGTCAGCCTGCCGGGTGCCTGGGCAAGGCTCATCAGAGACACCGGCCTGGCTGTGAATACCGAGGCGGCTGGTGCACGAGGAGTATCCGGAGCCTGACGGAGGAAGCCGGTTGCTGCCGGGGTCCAGGCTGACTTGTCCCAGGGCGCTCCGTGCTCGCCCCTGGAGTGCTCCAAGCCGGGCCGTGACGGCTCTGAAGCTGGTGACGCTGCAGGTGATCAGCCCCATGCGTCCGGCTGCCCCTGGCCCATGCAGTGACCCGCCTGATCGCTGTGAGCGGGGCCGGCTGTCAGGCCAAGGTCGCCCCGTCCCGGGTCACAGAGGAAGGATGCTCTGAGAGCGATGCCTGGCAACCGCTCTGATGCAAACATCCCAGGGAGGAGCAGGGAGACCCCCCTGTATTGCCCTGCCCTGTTGTATGTACATCCCCCCAGGCACACGGTGGGTCTGAGCCACGGGGCAGGCAGAGCCCCAAGGCGCTGACGTAGGGCTCCTGTCAGGGCTGCGAGGAGATGCCAGCCGAGCCCGAGACCCCCACGGCCCGGTGCTGGCTTTTCTCGTCCACCCCCGGCTCTGGCGGCCCAGCTCCCTTCTCTCCTTGGCCTTCGTCTCAGAAGTTCTCCAGAGCAGCGTTACCAGCTCCTGCAGGCTGGGCTGGCCTCTGGCCGCGCTGGGGGCCGGGGCTGTAGAGGGCGTGAGGTGGGCAGGAGAGGCCGGGGGCAGCCAGCCAGCCTGCCACACATCCAGTCCTCTGTCTGTCAGTCAGGGGGGCCCGTCCCCATGTCAGACCCACGGGTCCATGTCTCACATTACGCTGGGCGACGGGAGGGATCCCGGGAGGATTCCCTGTTCTGTTCCCTCCCTCTGGGGCACCGGGCATTGGCCACTGCGGGCAGACAGGACACGGGGCTAGATGGGCCTTTGGTCTGACCCAGCCTGGCCGCTCTTATGTTCTAATGTTAGTAGCAGCCTCTACCTCCCTGTGACCCCAGCCAGCCTCAGGAAACCCATCCCATGCAGCTTATAGTCCTGGAAACAACAGCTCCCCCACCCCTCCAAGCACATGCCTTGTTATAACGAAACAGCACAACTCTCCATAAAGACCAAAGGGTCCCCCCCCCCAGGGATAACTTTAATGCCGCGGATGCAATACCAAGCCGAAGAGGAACCAGAGCAGCTTTGAAGGGCCTTAGACACCTCCAGGAGCCCAGGGAACCTGACCATGACTTAAACGAGGGGTTTTTTCTGCCCATCCGTTCGGTAACTCCTGGGAGGAGTATTAGTCCAGCTAAGGTTTGAACCCATCTGTTATCTGTGCACCATGGCTGGCGTCCGTCAGTCAACTGCCGCCGTTTAGTAATTTGCATAGATCATGTGGCTCTGACACAGCCCTACCGTCTAGCTACCCCGAGGCTGCCTGGCCACCGAACAGCCAACACCTCCCAGGCCAATCGAGCCGGCGTGTTGGAATTCTGCATGTTGCATGTGGAGCCGGGCTTAGCGAAACGTCGGGCTTTAGTGTGACTAAAACCCAGCCTGGCAGAGGCTCCCCCCCGTTATCTGTGTTCTCCACCATGGTTCATGCTAAGCGCCTCACAGCGCTACCCCCTTCCTGCCTATAGCATGTTGGGTGTATGCACCGGCCGGGGGGGACGGGGGACGGGGGACAGGGCCACTTGCCCCCTGCCTGTGAAGCCAATTGCAGCTGGCTCCAAGTTGCAGATGTTCAGGGCCAGGCCCGTGGGCGTCGGCCGGGGTCGGAACGCTTCGCAGACGGAGGCCACCACGTCGGGCCACCACGCTGGGGCGCTAGAACTTCGCGGCTCTAGAAAAGCTTCCACCATTGACCGGGTTTCCTCCACGGGCGTGTTCCAAGGGGCTCCGTCGAAGGGGGCCCGTCCCTCCCCGTGCCCTGCAGCCCCGCTATGCACCACAGGGGGGCGCTGCGGGGTCAAGTGGGGCTGTGCGATGGGGCCAAGCGGTGCGGCCTCTTCCATGTCCTTTAACAGTTGCCTAGTGACGCCGCTGAGCCTGGGGGGTGCCCAGCCTCGGGGGATGAATAAACGTGGAAAGGCCTACGGTGGCTGGGGTGGTCGTGTGTGTGTGTGTGGGGGGGGGGGGCCTTGGGTCAGCCCAGGCACGGAGCCGGGCCCGGGCAGCGATTCCCTGGCCTGGGACTGGCCGGGCGGGCTCAGCGAGGCAGGGCAGCACCCCATTTCTGGGCAGGGGCCCATCCCCTCGCTGCACACGCTGGCTGTGGCTGAGCACCCGCTCCCCCGGCATCGCATGCGGCGCAGGGGCTGGCTTTGGAAACACGAGCTGCTCTCGCCTGTGCTGCTGCTGGGAGCTGGGCTTTGAGCCCAGCCGCCGGGGAGGGGTTCAGAAACCCAGCCCCCGCCAACGCGCCATTAGCCCGGCCTGGCGGGAGCGCTGTTCGAGGGGTGGGCACGGCCGGAGGGCGAAGCAGCCTGCTGCAGGCCTGCGCTAGCCAGGGCCACGTGGACGCAGCTGCCGCTGGGGGCGCCGGGGGGGCCAGGAAGCACCTGGGCGGCTCCTGGCCGCAGGAGAAGGGAGACGCTGAGTCTGGGAGCCCCCAGGCCGCACTCTGGGCACAGTCACTGGGGGGTGAGGGAGGGACCTGAGCTGCTGGGCATGGACACTGGACACACCCCGCAGCAGGGAGAGCCCGGGGGTGCCGCTGCCCCGCCCAGAGAGCTTGGCTGAGCGAGATCCCCGGCCGTTCTCCAGCTCCACGCCTGTCGTGGAAACCGAGCCATGGCGACCGGGCCCTGGAGCCAGACCTGGGGTGTGTGTGGACGGGGCCGCCTGGCGCTCTGGTGGGCCTTGGATTGGCTGCAGCATCCCCGGCGTGCTCCAGCACCGGGCCTCACTGGCAGCCTCGTTGCTGCCCCCTGCCAGCCTGGAGTGGCTCCATGCCCCCTCCTTGCTCTGGCCCCGGTTCCTGCAGGCCATGGCTTCAGAGGGGAGATGGGTTTGCTGCATGCAGCGGGGGGGAGCGGGGACCCGTCTGAGCGATGCTGCTGGGTATGGCTATTCCAAGGCCACACTGCGGCTGGCTGGGAGCCATGGGGGCTGAGCTGAGGTGAGGGCCCTCACAGGGGAGAGGTGGGCGTTGGGGGAAAGCGTCCCATTAAATCTTTCCACCAGGCCATTGGTTCGACGGTGGTGGGGGTAGCAACTTGGTGCCGCTACCTCGTGAGCTTCCCAAAGACCTTTCATGGCCTCAGCCAGGAAATTGGTCCCTGAATCCATGAGGATCTTGGAGGGCCAGCCTACCCTGGCAGAGATCGGCTAGTGCCTGGCAC